TTTGGTATTAAAATAGACGAATTTTGTGTCAGTTGCGGAAAAACATTATTCTACCTAGTTGATGTAAATATACCTAAGTACTGTGACAAATAAATGATCGAGTTACACGCTGACAAAAGCAATAAGTCACATGGCCAGGACTCCTCCACATCACGCAGTGTAGTTCGTTTCTTCTAGAAATGCGTAGATTATGAATTATCTAGGAGAACCGACGAAGAACACTATTTTTTGCAAAATACGCAAATTCGGGCCATTGAATTTTTTCCACGTGCAAATACCATTTTTTTTTTCGCCACTAGCTATACAACCTACCATTGTTTAGTCCTTTTCGAGGCGTTAAGTGTTTTTTTACGACCAAGGTAGTTTTCGTCATTATATTAACCATACTATAGTCAATAAAGACATGGCCACCTCTGTTAAAATTAACCCAAATTCACTGTTCTGATGCGTGATTCGTATTAATGGCACTCGAATCTAGTAGGTAGGTATTTATTAATAACGAATTGTCATAATATGATGTCATGGTCATGACTGCGAGAAGTCAATTAGAATTGAAGAGAAATGCTTTCATGGTGACAATAGTTCAGTTTCTCAGAACTAAATTGATTGAAATATATTGCTAGTGGTGAAATAAATGTAATATACACCTTGGTTGTAAAGAATATAATTACCACTGGACCTCTTATTCCCCTCGGCTGGAGCCTCACGATAAAAATCTCTGGTAATACTGATATTCTCTACTACCTCGCATGGTATACAGGGTGTTAGTGAAGAACTGCAACAAACCTCAGGGGATGATTCCTTGTGATATTTTAGGAAATAAAGTTTATATAAACATGTGTACTAACTTGCTTCGTTTTAGATATACAGGATGTTGAAGTTGAAAGTATCAATTGTTTTTATCTATAACGCCCCTGTATAAGCTTTCATGGTGCCAGAATTTAGTATGGTTGGAGACTGAAAAGGTCCCAAAATTTCAAAATGATTCTTATTGAGGTTATTGAGTAATCTCAATTAATGTTTTGAGAGCACCTACATTATTCGGAGTCAAATCGATTTCTTTTTTATTTCCTCAAATACTAAGCAAGATTAAAAAAACACAGAGGATAAGAAAGTTGATATTTTAATTGTTCCATTTAATAAAGAAATGAAAGTCAGAAAAACCAGTAACGTACAATTATATCAACCGTAAATATCGATAAATTAACCCACTGTGACGCCACTGAGAATATTATTTTGAATTTAAGCACATCAAGAGAAGCTCCATATCACATTCAACGAAACTACCAAGTTTCATTGTAATTGGTAAAAAGACATTTGAGTTATGATTGAAAAACGATTTTTCATAGAAATATCAATACCCCGTATCTCGAAAACAAAGCAAGTTAGGGCACATGTTTATACATATAAACTTTATTTTCTAAGCTATCACAAGTACTCACCCCCTGAAGTTTGTCGCACTTATTCACTAACACCCTGTATAAATAACTTATTGCTATGAACAAAAATTGGAAAAGGAGTACGCATGTATTTCGAAATCCTACTAGTGATTCTTACGTCCACATGTACAACATGGATGACACTGACATTTCGAATTCAGCTTTCAAATATCTTCTGAATAAAGTATAGCTTCTTCTGATAAACAATGAAGTGTTCAGTGTTGGGGAGTTCGGGTGTGAAAATAAAGGAAAGACTCCTGATCTTCGAGTCTTTCCTCCACTTCTGGCCATTCTAGTGTATGTGTCTAATATTTCTGTAGGGCTAGTTTGTGTGTGATGAAATTTTTCTGGGGTGAGTTCAACTTCGAAATGTTTGCATTATCTTTTCTAATGTCACGTATCTGGAGGTTTCTTCAAATCATTGTGGTGGACACTAGCAGTTGCTTTTCAGTAGTTAAAATATTGATCTTCTCATTTTATTTTTTCTATTTCAGTACTTATTCACCGTTTTCAACGTACCGTAAAACGGGGCGACTTGGAATGTTTCCGTCAGATTATTGGCCCTGAGCCGTCGAATACGTTAACAGTCGTGCCAATTTTTGTGAAAAATCAATCGAAGTTGATATTTTAAGTCGCTCCACTCTTGGGCGACATGAGAAATCGTCAAGGTAAAAGTGCACTTATCATGCGATGGGGTTTTTTTTCGAAAATTTTGTTGGTACTTACGTATTTTCGTCTGAAAAACACGAATTTCATAATGAAAATGTGAACAAACCACTATTTATCAAGATATTTCAAGAAAAAGTTCGAAATTTTGCCTTCTTTTCCCCCTTGTGTTGGATGCATTTACAGGTACTTGCTCTTATTATTTTGTCATTGGACACTTTATATACTCATGATGTACTTACTTCACTGACACATTTTGAGATAGAAAATTCAACAGGAAATATGATTTTTATGGCGAGTTTTTCCTATTTAGTGAGCAAGCATACCAAATGACGGCCATTTAATCCATATTATTATGCAATCCAAATACGAGATGTCAAATGTCAATAGATTGCTTTGGAATGACATTACACACGCCATTATTTCAAATGATATTCTTCCTTCTTTTCACTAAACATGGATAAATCACAAGAAAATCATATTTCTAGTTGACTCATATAATAAAAAAAATGTGTCCAACATTGTGTGATATATATAAATTGTCCAATGATGGAAAAAGAAGGGCAAATTGTTCAAAATGTGATCCAGAAGACAGGCGGAAAAGATGGTGAAATTTGTAACTTTATAGTGAAATATCTTAATAAATAATGGTTTGTTCACATTTTCATTATGAAATTCGTGTTTTTCAGACGAAAATACGTAAGTACCAAAAAAAATTTTCGAAAAAAACCCCATCGCATGATAAGTGCACTTTTACCATCGTCAATTCTCGGGATAATTTTCAAGATATGGTCGCATGGAGGCAACATGGAATGAAGGGAATTGAAATTTGAATTGAAGAAAATACCTGATACCAAGTATAAAATATCATTGTTTCAGATTATTATCATTGGTAGTCACGGGAATTCCAGAGCGTTCTGACATTGCCATCAGGCTTCCATTTCCTTTCCTGTAAACTGTAACAGCCGAATGTAGAGACTCCTCACTATAATTCTGATAGTTCTGCGTCCCAGGTTTTGTTTTGAAGCTCTATAACCATATTTCAAGTCGCCCCAATAATGTAAAAAAAAAACAAATGGTACGCTACGGGATAACGAAAAAAATTTAACGCAAAATTTCTGGTTAGGATACTGTATTCAAGTATATTGGCAATCAAACAATTTTTTTCCAAAATAATCCTTGTTTGTAGACATACACCTAACTGGAAGTTGTAACAGAACCAGTGTTGCCGGACACCCAGAATGAAATTTCCCAGCTCAACAACCTAAGAATCCTGGTCATAATTTTTTTCTTGAATAGATTAGATCTATGATTGATGTGCTGTATATAGTAATAGAAAATGAAGTGTTTCTCCAAACAAAGAAGGATAGGTATAAACGGAATCTGTGTAACTTCCACTCATTCAACTAAGTGGAAAGGAATCACCTTGAGCAGAAAAAACAAACCGAATAACTAGCATATTACAATGAAATTTGAATTTCAAAATTGGAACGTTTTGCCAATTATGATTTATAAAGAACAAATAATCAAACACATCTAATTTCATTTCCATATAATCATATAAATATGTATCAAACATAAACAAATGAACCTATCTCATAATAATTTATTAAGGTAACGACATGCATTTAATAGTTGATAATTATAAATAACCAGGTATGGTATAGGAACCAAAAATTCAAATCAAAAATACATCTCTCATATTTTCAAAACTCCATAAAGAGTATAAAAAATCTTTTTTCAGAACTATTTTTTTTGCCAAATTGGATTGTCTTTTACAAACTACATTTACTATGTTCTATGAATCTGCGATCAGTGATCAGCGATCACTTGCAGATCAGTGTTCCCGGCAATTCACTTATTCACCATAATAACGTGCTATGACAAAAACATCTTCAACACCATTGATTTCCCGGAAATTTCCCGAAATAATCCATATCCCGGCGAACTTCCCGAAGGCCATAAGAAATCCTGAAATTTGGGAAATTTTCCGGAATTTATGTCACGTCAATCTTTAGCATCATAGGATTGCAATCGACTGAAAATGATTTGTATAATAGATTGCTACATATACAAAAAATGTCCAGCATTTACTGGTACTACGACTACTAGATGGTAGCACGTGGTTGGGTTCGAGCGCTCACGTATATTTCAAATCGCCCTCTAATTTCAAGTCGCCCTATTTTACGGTACTCAACGATGACGATCAATTCTCAATCACATCTTCACAGATATCCGAGATCTTCTGAAATATTTCCTTCTGATAGCTTAGTAAAACGGTAACGCTGAAAATCCTCTCTCGAGTATAAAAAGGGAAAAGGGGTATTGACCCAAATCTAATTTTGTGTAATATCACCCTGAGCCTTCATATGGTTGAAATTCAATTTATTGATTTCGATAACATCTTGTATATCTCCGAATATTCGAAACAATCACAAAAACATTCGAAGTTAAATTCGCTGAGCGAATTTGCTTATTGCAAATGAATTGAACTACAGTTGAGTTAGGTATCTTCATACTTCTAAGATACCCATCAATATTAATATCTTTGTGTAGTACTCGAATCATTGATATTTATTGATTTATTGTGATGTTGGAATACTTATGATTTTATCAGACCAGATGATATTTGATCAGAAATCTACTCGACACAATTTCCGAAAACTCGACTTTGTTATCCTTTTATTTGCTTTGCTATATCTGACGTTCACCCAACCTATCAATACGACAATAATATTTTTTTGCAATACAATTCTCAGAGTGCCATCTAATCAGCTCAATACCTATATAAAAACAATCAAATCAAGATCCCCTCATTATCTGTAAGCGAGTTCAGACATATTAAATGCAGACTGTCGTGGAGCGCTCAATCCAGTCAGAGTTCTACAAGAAAAAATGTGTTCCGTTCCATGTACCCCAAGCTCGGTACTTCTTCCACTCCAAGAGAACAAGTTGAGGGAGTTGGTGAGGAATGCGAAAGATTGGGCCATCATGCATGGTGCTTGCATGAGAAGTAGATCGAACTTCAGCGAGGATACGATCAATTTTGCTCCTTTCACTTTGTTCCCCACGACCTTTCCGAGAGAACAGTTCCAAAAAGCGGTTGACATCCAGACTGTTTTTCTGGAGCTGATCCACAAGGTGGCTCACGATGGGGCGTTTTTGAGGGAGTGCCTCAAAGATACGATAAAGGTGGATGATTTCACAGCGAATCTGTTTAGAATTTATGAGACGATCGAGAAAGAAGGAAGAGCCCAGGTGAGTCCAAGAAACATGGGAGTAATTTTTTGATAGGTTTCTATCTAATAGATATAACCCGCTGGTTTTCGAAATGAAGTATACCTATGATTAGCTCAAAAAAATACAGTGCTATGTGCGAAACAACTAGCTGCTTTCATAATTTCAACGTTTTCCATGTAGACCGGGATTCCACAACGTGTTTTTGTTGAATTAACCGTATCGTATTTACCCTACATGTTCGGCAATGCCGTCCGCCCAAACTTCTTCAATTGACAGTAACTTTTTGTGACATACGCCGAACGGTAAGTAATGATTCGAGACTCCGACTTTTTTATAGACCAGGAGACAGGTGACGTTCTCCCGTTCAATAGACTGAGAACCAGCTATCGGCCAACTAACGGTATGTTAGCAAACTCCATATTGATGCTAGGTATACTATTTCACCTGAAATGAGGATTCAGTATCCTCGTCGAGAGTCCCTTTGGGCTACACAGAAGCCAAAAAACGTTAAAAATTACTTCAGAAACGTGATTGCAGCATGTCTGCCCTTTTAATATCCTAAAGTACCCATTTTTTTTATTAGTAAGTTCATTGGCAGACACTTATTCCGGTTCTAAGTATGCTTTATTGAATTTCGAAACTTTGAAATTTTTATAAAAATTCAATTATGAATAATTATCAGAAATTTCCTCATTTTTACAGTTTCATTATTGAACTTGATTAGATTCTGGTCTGCGTGTGACCGAATTGGTCTACACATGAGTATTTCTCTCATTACGAATATGACACAGAAATACTTTCACCATTTCTGAATAGTCCAAGCATATATCTATAGTCAGTGTAGGAATATGGGTGATATATGAAATCAACGATATATACATTTTTCTCCGTATAAACGGTGGTGCTATTCAAGGTAACGAATTTCGAGCCGTCTAACATCAAAGGCGGTATCAAAACATTCGCATTGTTAAGGTCATATAAAATTCCTATTCAATCGGTAAGAAAAACATCTGTTCCATTCAAAGATTGTTCAATAAACAATCATCCTTACAGTAGAGCATGAATGCTAGTTCTCTGCGAGATAGACTCAGCGAGTCTCAATATATTGCACACCTACATTAATAGGACAAAAAAAACAATATCGTTTACCCGCAAGCTGGAACCGATCTATGTGTCTGCTTCTACAAATGAATGTGTATAGTAATAATATGAATATACTTGGAACCGGAACAAGTGTCTGCCATTGGATTCTTTAATAAAAAAAATATGTACTTTGGGATACTGAAAGGACAGACATGCTGCGATCATGTTTCCAAAAAAATTTTTGGCGTTTTATGACCTCTGTTCACACCCAAAAGAACCGTCGACAGAGATAGTTAATTCCCATTTCACCTCTACGGCAGGTGACATATAGTCTACGTAGCATCAATATGGAGTTTACTAACATACCGTAAGTCTGCCGATCGCTGGCTCTAAGACTATTTTACTGCATGCCTTTTTAAGATTTATAATTAATTCCAAAATATCGAGCAAAATATGAACAATAGGCGGGTTCCTGGCCGCCGCATGGGTGCCCTTCAGGCCTTCATGAGGAAAAGCGCTTTTCATTTTGTGGAGAATTTTCATATTCATCCGAGATATTATACTACCTGCCGTTGTAAGATACGGAAGGGGGGTCAAACAAACTGAAGCGCTAATAATTGGTGGCATAAAATCCGCAGTGGCCGAAAGGGCTCAAAAGGGTTACCAAAAACTGAAGAAAATCAAATTGCATGCCGATGTGAAGAATTGAAGTTTAAGTAACAAATTGGCATGCGCCCGTCTTCTGAACAAGGTTGGAATATTTCGGGAAAACTGTAAAAATGTAATACTGCATGCCATTAGATAAATACCTACTCCATTTGTACAATTAATCCATAGTCGGTAATTTGGCATTCACACTAGGATTTTGCAAACTAGAGACATGCATGAAGGAAGTTGCAAAAAATACTTATTTATTTGTACAACTTCCTCTAGCGCCAGAATCACTTGTGTATAGATTCAAGTACTTGTTTGCAGCCAAAGTGTCTTGTGAAAAAAGTTATACAATCTTGTTGGAGTGAATACAAGCCCAAACTTACTGTTTCCGGTGTATGTGCCTCTTGTATACCTTGTGAGGATTAGTTTGCGACCTGTACCGCCAATTTTGTCAATTAACTCCACCATCCATATCGGACTCTTATAAGACAATAAACACAAAATTTCATCGCTGTGCCATCGTCCCTCAATACTTCGTCGATTTTTTCAGATATCTTTGTTGAACATAATGATAATAAATGGAATTTGCTGAAAGATTCTCTTCCAAAATTTATGAAAATATAAAGTGTGCTATTTGAAATAATGAATATGTTGAAAAGAATTTCAGGAAAACTCACGATATGACAATATATTCGTATATAACATTTTCGAATCCGTCATGATTTGAAATCATCCTGGTTACCGAGATATTCACTTGATTCCATTAGTAATTACAGGTATATTGTTAGTGCGGTGGTCGGACTAGAATAACCCCACAGTAGTAGAGGTGCTGCTTATCGTAGAAGGCGACTAAAAGAACACCGTGGAAGATGATTACCATCGCCCGGTACAATACCACCACATCGACACAGCGACCCTGTAGGTGCTGTGAAATTGATTATTTCCATGTTTCAATAGCTGTTTGATGATTCCAGCCAACCTAGGTCATTCAAATTTTCTTTTTCTTCCACACTGACGTTTCTCCTCAATACAGAAAAAGCGAGGATGCGTTCTCCTCAAGTAAAATTATCCGGAAGTAAGATACCTCTCTGAAGATAGACCTATGTAACATAATATCCGCATATCGCGGAGTCCATCAACACCTTCAAACTGAAAAGCCAGACATAATGGCTCTGACTAAGACATAGATCAATTCACCCACCAACACGACCTATATTCTCTCTCCTGTGTACAAGCTACGCACTTTTCAGGTTCAATAGAGGTATCTGCCTCTATTCACTTTGGAACCAAATGAGTTTGATGTTATGTGGTTTGAACTCGATAGCTAGAAACAAACCAAGTTCCTCTGTTGTCTCTACTTCTCACCAAATGATCCATCCTATGGAGAGCTCTTCGAGTTATTGTCTCCGAAGCTTGACATAATTCAACCGAACCATCCAGCAGCAAAAATCATCATCAAGGGCGATTTCAATGCAAGCACCACTGCTTGGCTAATGCACTCCAACAAAACGACTGAAACTGGATGACAAGCCCAACCTTTCGTCATCACGCATGGCTTAGAGCAACTCATGTTAAGGAACCCACATGAATTCCAGATGTCAATAACCATTCTGCGAACATATTTGTATGGCATAATGATTCAGGAGACTGGGACGGTCTCCGCATGTTTTGTTGGCACAGAATATGTTTTGTTTCTGAAGATTATTCACAGTGGGATACGAAAATATCCGAGATCATCACGCTTGGATTGGAAACATACACATACCTCAGTCTTCGAAATGATCACCATCTTCAGTTTAACAAGAACTGATCTAGAGCTGTTGCCTTGAAATAAACAGCCTATATACCATTAGGACCGCAAAAATCTTCTTGCAAGTTATTTACCATCTCGCACAAGCCTGGGAAATCAACAACCTATAGTTGAATTCAGTGCCAAGCCTGTGTTTTCTCTAGAAAGGTGGAACTCAGTATGCTTGACATCTCAATGTCTGGTACCACCATTCCCGCATAGCCCACTATATCTATACTCGGTATTTCCATCAGCAATACTCTTTCATCCATCGCGAAAGCTGCTTCACAAATACTGGGATTTTTATTTCGTGCAAAAATGTGAATTTACACCTCAACAGCTTGATCTACAATGCAAGAATTCTGTTTCTACATATGAGGTTCAGAACCGGAACATAAGCTGATACTCTTAGACTCCAAGCAGAGAAGAGCCATTCGCCTGGTGGGTGGAATGTCGGTGATCTTTGAAGGGGCCAGCTAGCCGTGCGGACAGAGTGTCCATATTCTAATCAGTATTCGCTTGCCGGTCGTGGGTTCGATTCCCATCGACTGCAGAAATTTTTCTCCAAGACTTCTGAGGGTTGCTCGTAAGGGGGCAACCGAATGACGGATAGAACAATTTTTTTTTTCACTTTTCCATAGATACTCCCACGGAAAATGTTCTTCCGAAATCTCTGCTATGATCCCATCACTAGCGATATCAGTCAGACGAACTCGACAACTTTGAGATTTGTCGAACAACTCTTTGTCAACTGTTTGTTTATAGAACGGTAAAGCTTTAGAATTATTTGCAAGATGAAATATTTCCAAGAACTTATAACCTCCAAAAATTAAAAAAAAATTCCAATACCTACCTACTCCTATCCTCCCTATAGGTATGCACGATGTTTACCAAACATTATAGGGATTCCCTTCCGGTGCGCCCCAAAAGATAAAAAGAAGTTGTACCACATAGTATTTTTGCCGTGTGAGAAAGCACTTATCATTTCTCAAATATTTTAATTTTTTAACAGCCTATAGAGTTGGAACTGATGAGAAGCGACTATATGCTAGACTCCACGTGTGATAGAAAATATCATTCGGATTACCCTCCTTGTGACTGGAAACAAGTGGAGTACAATACGATTGCCGCAGGATTTTATTGGCTTGGACCTGTATCTGGAGATATCCACAGGTCGGTATGATTTATTCGAGGTCAGTTCAGACAGTTTTGATATACAAGGTGTCCCGAAATTATATAGAAAGATTCCAATCACAGATTCTAGGAACAAAAATAGTAAAAGAAGTTCTTATTCAAACATGGGTTCATAAATGGCCTCTGGGAGAGTTATAGCCATCTGAAGGAGGGGTCGAGATGATGTTTTTTGTAAATATTTTCGAAACCCTCTGTGATAAAATAACTAAATTTTTTACTAAAGTACCTTATTTTTTATGCCCGATAGGGCTTCGCGAAACCAAGACCAAGATCAAGACTGATCATTCTTGGTCTCGGAAAATAAATGTAGTCTTGGTCTTGGCATCGGTCT